GCCGGGGCGGCGGGCGGCAGGGCTGGGCCGGGGGAAGGCGGGGGCAGACCGAGCCGGGGCCGCCCAGTGTCCAGAAATGGCTTTAACTCCTCAGCCAGGCGTGGGCACAGCCGGCCAGCGGCCCAGCAGCGACCCCTCCGTTCCTGACAAGTGACAGTATTGTGCGGACAGGTTCGAATAAACCGAGAGAAGAGGTCTCCTTGCACTTTTTACTTAAGACACTCCCTTCCCCAGGGCGACCTTAAAAACCGAAGTGAAAAAAAAAACCACAATTTTTACAACTTTTCTTGTCTTCCCTTTGTATGTGGCTGTTTCGGATTTGACAGTGTGTTCTTGCCCGCCGGTCCCAGATGACCGCAGCGCTTCAGAAAGAGGGTGGCGTTTCTAACTCTTTTTGGGGTTCCTGCTTACCATTTTGTACACAGCCACCGGCGGCCGCGCAGGGGCGGGGCGGGTCCGGGTGGCGCACAGGTTTCTCTTTTTCCCCCTAATTATAAACCCCCTTCCTGCTGTGTTTTTTGGTTGTCTTTTTTTAAAAATTTTTTTAAAGTTTTTTTTTTTAGCTTTTACTTTTTACCTCTTGTGTATATGTAGGGAATTTATAGGGAAATGTGTACTTTATGGAATAAATTTTAAGAACTAAAATATATTTTATTTTAAATAAAAGTAATGGACCTTTAATCTTCCACAGCTAAATTACTGATTATATATTTGCTGAGCTGATTTAAGGGTTAAAAATTGTATCAAGAGTTTTATTTTTTGACTTCAAAGCCTTCTTAATAAAGTCTTTTTACTACACAAGAGCCCTCAGTGTCCCTGTGGAGCGGGGCGGGTGGCACGTCTCGTTCCAGAGGAGGGAACAGGGATGTGGGGTGCAGTCAGCACCCCTTTCCTGAGGCTTGGATACCCCTCACCCCGTGGGCATCCAGCCCTAGGGACAGCTGTGGCTCCCACAGGGGGACAGAGGCCAATTGTCCCAAGAGGCAGTCTGCCCAGCCCACTGTGCAGATGGGGAGACTGAGGCCTGGGACCCCTCCCTCCCAGGTTGTCCCCAAGGACAGGCCACAGCTCCTTAGGGCTGGGGCTGAGCCCCGAGCGGGAGAGACCGTCACAGGGTGGACACTGGTGCTCAGTGGCTGCCACTGATTTTCAAGGACTGAAGAAAGCCCAGGGCTGGCGGGACAGGGTGCCGGCTGCTCTAGGGACAAGCCGGGGAGCTGGGGACCCTGCCCAGAAGCTGCTGGCTCGGCAAGGGTCCCAGGGCAGAGCTCACTTGGAAAGTATGGAGGGGAGGTGTGGGCAGCTCCTGCGGGGAGTCAGGCTCGGACACCCCAGGGCCACGCTGTGGGAGGGAGGAAGCAGCCAGAGACAAAGACATCCGGGCTCGAGCCCAGCACTGCCGGGGCTCCAGCCTGGCACCCCCTGTAGGACAGGGTGCCGTCTCCATCCAGGCTCGAGCCTGGAGGCTTGGCCGGCCGCGGTGCTTGGATGGAGCCCCCACCCGTTAAATGTCACGGGGAACTTGTACAGGGGAGCTTATTTGGAAAAGAAAGTTTTGCAGACACAATTAAGGATCTGGAGATGAAATCATGCTGCGCTAGAGTGAGCCTACGTCCAGGGACAGGCGCCATGGACAGAGGGAGGCCGGGGCGGTGGGGCAGGCCTGCGCATCCCAGGATGGCAGCGGGAAGGTTGCGAGTTTGAGCCTGGCCTGGACGCCTCAAAGACTTAGCAGGACCCTGTCTCAAAGTAAAAAAGGGCTGGGAATACAGCTCGGTGTAAGCCGCTGGCTTCCATCCCCAGTACTGGAAAAAAATGAAAGGAAGGAAAGAAGGAAGGAGGGAAGGGAAGGAGGAAGGAAGGGAGGAAAGAAAGGAGGAAGGAAGGAGAGAAAGGGAGGAAAGGAAAGACCACGTGGCAGTGGGGAGCGAGACAGACTTGCATCAGAAGAGCGATTGGCGTGACGCGGCCCAGGCTGGGGAGGGACGGGCCCGGGCCTTGAGCCGGCGTCCAGCCTGGCCAGAGCCTTTGGGAGGAAATGGGGGCTTCCTGCAGGTCCAAGGACACCTGGTGGTTGAGCTGCAGGAGGAGCTGATAGTCTCCATGCCCGGGCAGAGCTGGGGAGATGGCAAGGGCTGCCCACTGTCAAACTGAGGCTCTGGATCCACCTGTGCCTGAAGGAAGATCATCTTGACCTTTCTGACAGGAGACCCAGCCAGCTCTGCTTTGTTGTTTAAACTACCACCGGCAGAAGTAAATGGAACTGGACGTGTTTCCTGGAAGGGCTGGGGCAGCAAATGCCAGGCAAGTAGCAGGCACCTCTGGTCTCTCCATGTCCAGGCGCAGCCGGGGGAGCAGAAGGCCAAGGTCTGGCCCAAGTCGTCCTCACCAAGTCTCATCACCGCTGCCTCTCAGGCCTTGCCCCGGGACACGGCCCTTTGATGACCCCAGCCCAGTGCCTGTGAGAACCCCATTCTGGTCTCCTCAGGTGAGGAGGCTCCAGGTGGGGATGCCACCCTGCCACTGGCATGGGTTGGGGTCCCTCAAAATAGCAATCCATCTCAGCAGCCACAACTCTCCACTCTGCGACCCTGGGCCCAGCCTCTCCCTCTGACCTCAACGTCCACGTCCATGCAAAGGGGCTCATCCTCAGTAGGGTCAAATTACAGCAGCCGAGCACAGAAGAAGGCCCATGGGGGTGCAGGGAACAGCAGGGCCCCTGGGCCTCCAGCATGCCTATATTCCACAGGTGCCTATATTCTAGGTGGACAGATGATGGGCAGATGGATGGGTGGACAAATGGATGGGTGGATGGATGGATGGACTGATAAATGGATGGGTGGGTGGACGGGTGGATGGATGGATGGATG